TGGTTTGTCTGCAGCTCACTGCTCTGTTTGTTTGGTTTCTGTGTGTGAGCAGATTGTGTAACACTGACTTCCTGTAATTAGTTTACGTGGACACAATTCAAATAGGTGTTGAATCCTCAACATTTTAATTGATTTTGGTTTTTAATAACTTTTCCCTTTTTTTGCATAATGTTTTTTCTAGATATTTGTGTTATAGTTAATGCAATTCATAATTCATGAACTTTGGGAAAAGGATCTTATGTATGAGTGTGTTGCATCTTTGTTGTGTTTTGTTTTAGTAATGAAAGCTAGCATGTTTTTTAACCAAACTAAATCAAATAAACAATCTGTTTAATATTTCAACCTTGGATTAGATATTTTAATCAGTGTTTCAACAAGTTGAATAATCTTTAATCTTTAAAATCGGGACTGGATTTATGGGTGGCCTTAACACGACAAATATAAATATGTTGCAACACATTATCAGTGAATATGATGGTTTTAGCAGTGCTGTTTAATTAACTGTGGATGGAGTCATATCTGTGCAGGCAACTGGAGGTGTGACACTGAAATAAGAAATGATGGAACAAGGTGCTGTGTGCTGTGTGTAACACATAACAGTAATTCACACAGTCCATCAAGGAAATTGTCACCATGGTATTAATTTATTTTTTGCAGGGCAATCTGTTCAGAGAAAATACTTCCATGGAGATCTTGAAAACCCACAATTCCTCTTTCTTTCCCAACTCACACTTGCAAGCACACAAATATACACAAATATGAACATTCCCCATTGCTCTGTTATTTGGAAATGTGTGTGTACAATGTAATGTTACCAAAGGATAAGTGCAAGAAGGGAGGTTCTACTTATCGTTCATTTTTTTAATTAAACTATGACCACCTGCCTCATCGCTAAAATATAATTACGCCCTCACACAATAACAGCTTCCAGACAAGTGTGTTAATCAGAAATGTTCAGAAAATATTAGCACCTAGGACAGAAAAGCTATGCTGAAACTGGGAGTCAGAAATATTTGGCCTACAAAAAATCCATGTTTGCGAGTTCAGTCTTTGTTATAAAATGATTACATTCAAACATGAATTGATTACAGGATCTAGAAACAGACGAGCTGTTCAAGTGTCACTCAACAAGTTATTCCTGGTGTCAGCTGTCATGAACCACAAAAACTGACAGTATTTCACTTTAACGTTAAGTAACTGTCTACAAACGGCTCTTTCTTCTGTTGTCAGAGCAGAAAATATCCAGCGTGAGGATACCTTGACTCTGTTGTCTGTAAGCTGGACATTTCTGTCAGAATGCCTCTGAGTGAATGTTGCCTTCACATGATTTCAAAAGTGCTGCATCTACAGTCACACATAGAGAAAATAGCAGTGAAGATGAAACACAGACGCAGCCAACATAAGTTATTCCCACCGTTCTGAGGCAAAAATCAATCCATTGCTGCTTCACACTCATTTCTGCAGGATCGTAATGCTTTCAGGGCCTCAAATATTTCCTTGCCTACTACTTAAATCATAACATCTGAACTTTTTTAAAAGCATTCATCCAAAATGATCATATCTTTGCAGAAAAAGACCCATAACAACATAAGAGAAGCATACCAGAAAGTACTGGAAATACAATAAGGAGCCTAAAAATAATACATGCCAAAAAAAAGTTCAAACTTGCTATTTGAAATTAGAATGATGATCGAGTTTGCACTTGGATAAATTAAGATAGCATCTAATTTAACTTAATCGACAACAGATCACAGCAAATTTTCCATAATGATAAAAGCCAAATATATAGCCCGTTAGAAGAAAAGGGAAACAACTATTTAGCTACTTACTTAGTCATTCATTATTGTTATTCTTATTGACAAAACCTTCACATCTGTTTTCAGTTGCTGACTTTTAATAGACCCTTTCCAACAACGCACACGTGTGGTTTCACAGTAATAGAAAACACCCTGGGCGCCCTGATTAACCAGGGCCTCCCTTAGTTAAGAGTCCACACTGTGAAATTCAACCAGGAACCCTCTATAATACAAGCAGCTAAACAGATTCAGCCAAATCAAATCAAACTTCAAATCACAAACAGGAAAGCTCTTTTAGGGGTCTGTGAAATACATTTAAATAAAGACTGTTGCCAAGATTTTTAAATAAGCCTCATACACACAAAAAAACAACAACATGCCATAACCATTTTGTCATTTTCAGTCAGTTTTGGCCAAAGCATGATCATTTTTTGGCACAACCAGAACAACCAAATATATTCGTAAATGAGTAAATAAACAACTGGACGTATTCTCTTTACAGCCAGACATTTACAGTTTCTGGGAGGTTTCGTCCAAGTGTAGTAAGACTGAGCTCAGTGGGTCTCCCCCCCCCCCCTATCTGGCCCTTCCTCCTGCCAGCTGCGCTCATCCCGCCAGCAGAGCGCGTCCCTGCTCCTCGTTCGTTCAGAGCTCGGGAGATGCCTTCCACCGGAGCACGAACCCACTTCCCGTTTTCCGCGAAACTGCGATAAGGCATTACCCCAGTTGTTTTGTATTTTTGGGAACACAGTTGGAGAGCCCATGCACGGCGAGCCTCCACCGGCTCCCAACACAAGTCACGGGACTCCGCCAGGATGCTGCCGAGAGGCTCACCCGTCGGACACAAAGTGGCAGGAGCTCTGATTTCCTTCTCCTTCCGTGAGTGCTCACTTTACTTTCTAATCCTCACGTCAGGAAGAGCGGAGCAGGCAGCTGTGGGGGACGGAGCGAAACGCGCAACGGAGCCAAACATTTGCTGTTGTTCTGCAAAGGGGGAGAAGTGTGTAGAATAAAAAGGGGGGATTGCCAATCGAGGGCTTTTATTTCGAGTCAGTTTGAGAAGTGAGGAGCCACGATCCGCCTCAACTTCCCCGGGACTTTACGGGAGACAGCCGTGCGTGTTTACGCGGCGCGTTTGCGCGGTGACCGTAAGCTCATTACGGAGTTTTAATCACCGGGAGATGAGGTGAAAAGCGCCTCTGTCTGAGGAACGGGGGTTTGTTTTTGGGGGGTCCGTCAGTCCCAATCACCGCGGCGAACCGTGTTTGCTTCCCCCGGACACATCGACGCTGAGCTGGCTGGGATCAGCGGTGGTGCCTCCGGTGGTGTCACCCGCAAACTCCCAACTTATTGTTCCCCCCCCCCCCCCCCCGACACTCCCAGCGACGTGCGGGGAAACAGCCCCATTTGTTATGCATGCACGAAAAAAAAGTGCATTTTCACACGTATCCGTCTCCAATTCTGCGCGTTTTTGGTTAAACGATCATAAATTTGCGTTGCAAGCTGTCTTTCGTAATTCATATTCTCACACTGAGCACGACCTCGCGTTTTAGGAGGGATTTGTCCAGTTTGGCCTCCACCTAGGTCACCATGTGGAAGTCCACTTGAGCAGAATCAAAGAAATTCTAGTAGCCTATATCCTGCCTTCTACAAAGGTTATTTAAATAGATTACTAAGGAGAACAATGTCTGACCCATGAAGATTCCCCATGACGAGGAAATAATCTCATTTTAAGAGTGTCCCATATGCTGTAGTAAAAGATTCCTATTCACACAGATTTCTAATTAATTGAATTTGACAAGGGATAATTCATTTTTAACCTTCCATCAGTCACACTTGAGTTATCTCTCAGCTGGTTACACCTGATTATGGCCCTGTCATGTAAAAAGCTTTGTCTGTTTACCATTTTTATTCAGTATGCTGTTAATACAAAAAAAAAGAAAAGGTTGTCGGCAAATCATTCGGGATCACCTCTCATCTCTAATTCTCAGTTACAATAAAACATTTTTAAAAAGCTGAACAAAACGCGGAAGTGATGGGGAGAGTTGGCAGTGGGGTGACGTTAGGGAGCTGTTTTTCTATCAGGGTGTCCGTGAAGTTTGAGCAGAGCATCATTTGTGATGCTCACCGGAGCAGTTTGCAGCTGCAGTCGATGATGAGCTGCACCACA